CAAATGGACAGAAGGACACTGTCAGAGGGCAGTGTTCCAGAAAGGGGACCCTGTGCGTTGGGAGCAACGCGGGTCCACCAGCCAACCCAAGGTGGAACGACAGGCGGGAAACCACCAGAAGGAGGCGCTCTACTGGATCGAACTGATTCCCCGAGGCGACCAGTAGGAGGCACTGTGGTGGAGAGTCCCAACGCTGTCACACGTGGTACCAGAAGTGGGGAACGGGATCCGGACCTGTTAAAGGGCCCAGAGGGTGGGGGTTTGCGTCGGAAGCACCCCGCTCACCCTCCTCCCCGAAGATGGAGGCCGAGAAGCTACTGAAATGGATGCTGGAAAAGCAACAGGAGCAGTTGGCCCAGCAGCAACAGCAGCAGGTGCAAATGCTACAACAAATGACTAGCCAACAGCAACTGCTGATGACTCAGCATCAAGAGCACCAGCAGCAGCTCCTGCAGGAGTTGGCCGCCTAGCAGCGGGCGCAGCAGGAACACCTAGTACAACAGATGGCCCCGCTATTACACTCGGCAGGAGGCACCCCTGCTGCACCCATGGGGACCGGACTTGGGGATACCTTAGGGGCACTACCGGTACGCCTCACCAAGATGGGGCCTGAGGATGACCCAGAAGCATTTTTGGTGATGTTTGAGTGGGTGGCAACCGCTGCCCGGTGGCCCTCAGAACATTGGGCCACCTTGCTAGCCCCCTACTTGATGGGGCAGGCTGAGGTCGCATACCATAACTTCGACCCCCGGGAAGCCCTCGAGTACACATGAGTGAAGGCGGCCATCCTGGATCATACCGGCATTAGCCCGGAAACCTACCGCCAGCGCCTCCGCAAGGAACAGTACCCTCCGGGGGCCCGACCCCGCGCCGTGGCCCAACGCATCCGAGACTACTGCTGGAAATGGTTGAACCCGGAAGGCTTGACGGGACCCCAGGTAGCGGAGATGGTGGCCCTAGAACAGTTCACCCAGGTCCTGCCCCCGGGAGGAAGTGCCTGGGTATGACGACATCGACCGGCCACCTTGTCAGCAGTGGTGGCCTTGATGGAGGACTACTTATCTGCCGAGGGAGCGGAGGCGCTACCCTGAGCGGCAGGGAACCTTGGTCGCAAGGGAGGGACAGAGAAGGGGAATCTCTGTGGGTTGGGACCCTCCGAACCACTGGCAGGCAACCGGTATGGGCCTCCGAGGCCTCCCAACCCCGAGCCTAGACACAAGTTACCATAGGTGACGACTCGGAGGGAGCACCAGCCTCCAAAGCGAGCATGCCCCCTTGGGGGAGGCACAGGGCCAGCCGAGGCTCAATACAGATGCTGGGGTTGCGGACAAGAAGGACATTTTTGACGAGATTGCCCTTTCATGGACTGCAACTACAGGCAAGCCTGGGTGGCCGGACAAAGGGCTTGGAGGAGAGAGATAGGAAAGCTGGTAGTCCCTGTACGGGTTGAGGGGACCCCCACAAACACCCTCGTACACTCAGACGCTCCTACGAGAGGGGCTGGTCCCGAATCGTAATCTTTCGGGGCCCCTGATCCACTTACAGTGTGTGCATGGAGATATCCGCCCGTACCCCACAGCCTGGGTCAAAATAGGAGTAGGCTGCTGAGAGGAGGGTCTCCGGGTAGGAGTGGCCCCCAGGCTGGCCTACCCGGTGGTGCTGGGACGAGATTGGCCGGGCTTCGGGGAGGTTCTCCTGAGGTACCAGCCGCCTGAACCCCGACCCGACAGGACTAAGGTGCCTAGAACGGGACTGCTCGGGCGCAGACCAAGGAGTTACCCCAGCGAGGGGACCTCCGCAACCCAGGAGGCCCCCGTGGAGCATCCTGGAGATAGGCCCCG